TCAAGACAGTCAGCTACAGCACATGGTACCTTTTCTTTAGTCCGATGGTTATAACAATAAGCTTCATCCCTTTCTCTAGGATTGAAACAACTGTTCGCTCTGCAACACATTTGGCATTTTTTGCAGTACCGGAATATGAATGGTGCTTCTTCCGCACATCCTCCATGTTCACAATACTTATGGTCAAAGCATTTTTCTCCATATACACTGACCCTTTTTATGCATGCATTTAATAGGCACTTAGTTGATGGCCCTTTGCTACTTCCTGATCCGGTTGTAGTATTTGGACCGATTCCTTTTGTAGTTGATTTAGTGGTATTCCCCTTTGTATTCTTTTCCCAGCATCCTTGACAATACAAATCCGAGGCCTTACATCTAGGTTGATAACATCTTGGAGTGTCGCACATTTTATCTGCTTTTTCCTGACAATCCCGACAAAGTCCTCTAGTATTTTCAGACTTATTTCCACACCCCATCTAACCACATGGCACTGGTTCCTCAGATTGGTGCTCTTCGCAATTGTTTCCTCCTACACGACCTATCTTGAAGCAGTGTGGCCTCTTACATCTTAGCCAACAGTCCCCACACCATCTATATTGATTATATGTTTCCTTTGTGCACCCTTCGTGCTCACACTTGTCGCAAGTTTGACACTTGGTAAATTTTCCCCAGACTTTATTTTTGCACTTAGGTACCCAGCAGTCATGTTCTCCCAGTGCTTTTTCTATTTTTTCCCTGACACTTCCTCTGGTGGGTCTTATTTCCGCAGAGGGGGTTTCAGTAAGAATTTCTTTTATTGTTGGGTTTAGGTTTATTGTTGTTGTCATAATTCTCAAATTATTTATACCAGATAGCTGAATTTCCTTTTCTTCCTTTGATTTCCCTTGCAATGGTGAAGGTGGGGCACTTGTAATTGATGAGACTATTTCCTTTTCTTTATTTTTCTTTTCTGGGCTTGCTTCTTCACTACTTGGTATATTTTTTACGTACAATCTTTCTGTATCTGATTCTTGCTCCGAATCAATATAATAGGATGATATAGGCTTTTGGGTTATTTCGTTATAATCTTCGTCTGAAATTGTAGAATTTGTCTCGTTGTCCTCCTTTGAGTTTGTATCTTTGTCCTCCTCCTTTGTTTCTTGGTTTTCTGTACTATCCTTTTTCTGGTCACTTTCCGTTGACTCTTTTCCTTGAATTATGTTACTACTTTCTTTTCCCGAAGTATCGTTAGATTCACTATTAATGAAATAAGGAGTTATTTCTGGCTGTTCACCAATATCTTCTTCTAAGGTTATTAAGTCCTCTTCTGCTGCTTGGCTTGCAGTTTCTTCCTCTGACATACGATCCACGTCAGTTTCTGAAAGATTAAATTGAATAAGCTCAGAATCTGTTACTACTGATGGTTCTGACTCAGTGTCTTCAAATAATTTATAATCCCCTGTTTGGGTCTGATATTCCTCCTCTGGATACCCCGTGTTGACTTATGTGTCTTTTGCTTTTGCCCTTTAATTAGGTTGGTGACCACAACACTCTATTCCAGGTAGTATGAGGACTATCCTGAAGATTGTGGTCCTGTCGTCGTCGCCAAAATGTGAGATCAAAATCCGTATCTCACACAAATCCCTTGGATTTGGTTAAACTATTATTTTAGTTGGTTTTGTGGCAGT